AGATAGCTAAATTACAGTGGAGCTGTTTAGAATATCCCAGTCAATCCTGCATGTGTTTGTGATTACATTGGTGCACAGGAGCATTGCTAATATTCTGTCACCTGTTCCCGCCAGCTTTAAAGAATACTTGGTACAAAGATAAAGTATAGCCTTAATGCTATATAGCCCGTGAGATTTCAGAATACCTGAAAGATAATTCAGAAGAGATCATTCACTTACCATCTTTTACTGCCCAAACCCACATCCTTTCTTATCCAGCTCAAAAAGAGGCATGTTGTATCTGCACAATCCAGGCCATGGTGCAAGCCCTAGATACAATCTGATACTGCTCGGTACCTGGTGACCTCATCAGGCTCTCCATCACTTCGTCAAACTGTGTGACCTGTACAGATAGTAGCAGTAAAAAAACACATTTTTTTCTAATCCATGTGCATGAGAAAGAGTCTGGAAACTGAGAAGCTTCTATGTCGTTTTAGTTGCTTCTAGTAAACATGTTTCCCAGCTATGAGTTTGTTTTTTCCCCCCTCATGTTTCTACACTGCTATGATTTCTGAGGGGTATGATTCTTATAGTAGTTTCTCTTAAATGTAATAAGGCTTCGTAGTACTGTATCAGTTTTTAAGAGAATCTTAAAAATTAGACTGTCAGAGCACTTTAATCTGTTCAGTTCTATTTATTTCTTTATTAAATCAGATTACACCCATTTATATGCCTGCCAACTTGCACTTTTAATTGTTTAATTCTGGGTTTGTGGGTTACACTCAGTTATGTTGCACTCAGTAATCAAACTAACGTTATAATTTCAAGTTGATATAATCATTTTTGATGCAAGATTTTTCTTTTGAATTCCCAGTATAAGATTTACCTTTAGAAAAATTTAATTTAATTAACATTTAATTAACATTTAATCCCTTCTTCCTATCCCTCTATTTTATTAGATGGCTTCCTTCATTGCCTATATGATGGGTTCCAATAACCAGATTAACTAATTTTTATTATCCACATACTATATATATTTAGTGAATAAGGGTTTTCTTTCTGGCTTTCCCAGTTGGAAAGAAAATAAATTTTTTGAAATTTGGGAGGGAGAGGGATGTAAGAAAGTAGCTTAACCGTGCCTCTGTTTGGCTACCCAAAAGATTGATCTTTCTTCATTGTCCATTGTTACTGTGGAAAAGAGTATGTAGGCAAAGATAGGCAAGTGGAGTTGGATTGTTTGGCTTGTTCTTGCAGTCTGGCTGGAATTAATATATTGGGGTCCTTCATAGAAGTTTAAGAATTTGTAAACCAATTTTTTCATTGGTAATAATGTTCTTTTCCTTGTATGAACTTCAGAGTCCCCATTTAACTTAAGCTGTAGGCTTTTTTTTTT